AGATAAAGAGTATTTCACTGGGTACATCTATGCAAGTGTACCTTTGAAGGAATTTTATGATCTCTGCCACAATTTTGGTCCTTTTGGATCAAGGCAATGTCTAGGAAATTCCTTGAATATTCCTCAGCACTAAAAATTGCAAATTTGAAACCGATTTGCCACTTAATCCAAATTTAACTAGTTTATATCAATGCTAATTTTCCTGCAAATTTTGTAAGTAAATGAGGAATTCTTGAAAGTTTCCATGAACAGAAAAGCAGTAATACTTTATTGCCAGGTTGAACTAAAAAGCAGTCATTTCATTTGACCAGTATCTTATGAATGCACTGCTCACTAGTGATTACATTATGGTATCCAAAATTATATTGAGACAAAGTTAATTTTACTTCCCCCAAAACCAATTACACTTAATACGGATTGTAGTTCTTGCCCCTAAAATGTTGACTGGCTATGAGTCATTGGTTATACAAGTTTTTCTCCATGAATAATTTCCAATAAGTTTAACCTTTCAGGTACTTCATTTTCTAATATCATACACTTAAAGGCCACGAAAGCCTGGAAAAAGTAGGAAAGCCACATCCAAAGCAGCAACATTGGTAAGATGAGAAAAAAATTAATGTTTAGTATTTTGTGAAAGATCAATCCAGTAGCAAGTGCAACCGAGGCAACTGAAATCAATGTAAGTTGGTTTTGTAATTCACTTAACCAGTACAAAACCACACCGCTGTCTTGCCAACAACAAATGACCCATATTCCACTCTGGTTACTTTTTTGTTTTTGCTCAAAGAAAAGATGATTTAAAATAACATGAGGTTCCCAATTACATTGTGTTAAGGGAACATACAAAGATACTTTATATAGACTTTTTTCTTTTTACTAGTAGTTGGTACTAAAATAGTGTAGCAGTCATCAGGACCTTTGAAATATCTATACTACAGTATAATTACAAGTTTTCTGTGCATTTTTCAATTCATTTGGAATGTGACAAAAGAAATCAATGTTTCTGTCTTAAAACACTTGTAACTACAGCAGGTACACAGAAAAGAATAAAAGCTTAAGGTTAACAACTTTCACCAAGTTATGTACAAAAATACAGATGCTTTTAACAAAATGTAGTTACTTATGCCCAAAAGCTTCATATATATTAGCACCAAATAATTTAATTCTGTCGTCTAAAACAAGCTGTTGTATCCATGGATCAGGAGAGTTCTGACCACATCCATGTCCTAAACCATTCACGATTGGAATTAGCTTTGCCATGGCCATATCAATACTGTTTGGATGTATAAATGTACCAATACTATTAACATGTCCATTTTTTATTTCTATGGAGGTTTCACTATCATTCTTTGATATTGTACCAATATCTCCAGTAATTTCTTTATTTCCTGATGGAGCATTTAGAGCGGCCTTGTTAGGTTCATTTGAAATAAAATATTCGGACACTCTATCTACAACACCTGAAAATCCCTGGCTTACTAAGGATGAAAGAAGGGAGATCACTTCTTCACTTTCCAGAATGTCTGTAGTTTCAAGTATCATAGTATTCAGTAAATTTTCTTCTGAACTGGACGAAGCTGCAACAGTTGAGTCACTAGGCAGAACATAAATGGTCATATTCTTTGCAGGATCCTTCTTGTCACTTCCCACAGCAGCTTGTAATGCCCAAAAAAGTTGCTCAGTATCATTTAAATTTAAACGTCGCTTCAAGGGAATACCACCCATAACAAACTGAACTTTACTCTGGACAAGTGCAATTAGTTCATTGATTCCATTACTCAAGAAATGGTGAACTAAGGACAAATATTTTTCTTGTACAACATTACTTATATTTGACGAGTCAGTTTCATCCTCATTTAGCTGGCGATACATATAACCACCTATTAAATTTAGTTGCACTCGCAACATTACAACCAACATTGCATAAGCATATACAACAACTGATGCTTTGGTAAACGCCAATACTTTAAGTTCTTCCCATATTGGCAGTTTGTTTGGGTGACCACTTCTCAACTGCTTTACCAATTCTTCAGTGTCTACTCCTTTAGCAATGGCTTCTATTAGTTTAGGAGAAAGAGAAAGAATAGTCTGGTTGCAAGTGCGCTCTGTACTCTCAAAATGTTGCTGCCTACGTGTGCGTTCCAAAAATTCTCTGGTTTCTCTCTCTTGCCACTCTCTGAATTTCCGCTGTGCATAACGACTTGCTAGAACTAAGCCTCCTACCACAACTCCAGTCACAATAAACTTACGCCTATGGCGACTTAAAAATCCTTTTACTCTCGAGAACATTTTAAATGACAAGCAATAAAAACACAAAAGTAACTGTAATAACCTGTATGTTTCTTTTGAACTATTACATTTCTCTGATCATCTTACAGAGTTTCAAACACACGAGTACTACATAACTTTCTACACACCTCACTGGAAAGACATCTCTGGCACTCCAGCATTCTGTTGAGTTTTCTCCAAGCGATTAACAATAAAATTTGTGCAGTCAAGAAAGCGCTCCACACAGTTTGCCAAACACGTCTCTACTTTAGTTTCCAGACGGGAACTTGGCTTATCTATACATACATCCCAGCATCGTTCCGTCAAATTGTGCACCAAAAACTGTAAAATAATAAAGATTACATTAAAATGAATCTCAGTTAAGATGCATGTGCTAGAATATACGTAGAAATGTACTGAAGTTGCACACTTTCCAAACGAAAAGAAAACGTGAAGGGGTACAAGGTCACAGAATACTTTTCTTAGTAATACCTGAAATCTTTGCTTTTGGGTCTCAATCTCTATAAACTTCTGCAGCTGAGATCCAAGTTTTTCTTCTGCGTCATTATGTGCCACGATCCATAAGCCAATGAGCTCATAACAATCACTGAAAATAAAAGCTAAACGTAACATTTGCATCAAATGCCACATGGACAATGATTTGCTAAAATCGGATCATACGCCTGAAAAACTTGATTTTCGACCGATCTAAGAACTGTCGTACTTACAATAATAAATCAGATTTTCCGCTCATTGAAACATTCAACACAGGTAGCGTTTAATAATCTACGAAGAACAACTCTAATTTTATTAGCACAACGAGTACAACCGCAAACACTCGAGGAATAGGCATACCCAATTTTTCCTTTCGTTTCCTTCCTCGGTGTCCCATCATTCTCCAACTCCCTAATGCGGAATTTCACCATCATTACAATACCACATTAGCAATGTCGCAATTGTCGGAAATTAGCCAATGCTGCGTTTAGCATAGCAACCATCGCGATCCCGAGTTAAATCGACACAGTGCCCTCACCGGCTGACCTAACTGTTTGGGGTTGGTTGGTTTCTCTCCCCTGAAAATGTGATGCATGTAATGTGGGTTAAAGTTAACATAGCAAAGAACATCAAATTAACCACAGCTTACTTCAGGAGTGCATCCTTGAACCGAAAATGAAGTAAACGCCTGTTAAAATGTTCGGTTACCGTATTCAGATGATCATAACTAACTTCATATACTTTACAGCATTGAGTACGTGACAATATTTGTCAGATAAGGTTTGTAGGTACTATTTGGCCCTAATTTATGCGAAATGAGAATAACTTCCATAGGTAAGAATGTTTAAAGCAAATTACATTTTTTTTGTGGTGCGCACTAGAATAAAAATTTCGTCCAGTTTAAATGGGAATATAACTATTTGTTCTTTAGTGTTCAAGAATCTGGTCGAGGCCCATTGTGGGTGGCCCGCTGGTAATTTGCAAGTGCCAAAACTTTTAAGTTAGAGGCCACTTCAAATCAATTATTTCGTAATGGAGCTTAAGGTCTGGGTGGAAGGAATTGAACGTATTGTATGTGGTGTCACTGATAATACTACTTGTCAGGTAAGAAAAGATATGCTTTTGACATGTTATGCAATTATTTTTCAAATAGTTTTGTCCTTTATTTCTTTATTAGGAATGCTAAGGCCTTTTTGAAACATTTTAATTTTTTTGTGAATTTAAATGTTAGGATGTTGTGTACGCATTGGCCCATGCTACAGGAAAAACAGGTCGTTTTACTCTTATTGAACGCTGGAGGAACAATGAGAGACTTTTAGCACCACATGAACATCCATTAAAGGTAAAAGAGAGAAAAGGGCGCTTTAAAATTTTTGTTTGTTTAGGTTTGTTGTTTTTTATGTTTTCTCTACTATTTTTAGATTTTGACAAAATGGGGTGAATATTCAAATGATGTCCAGTTCATTCTGCAGAGATCATCTATTGACAGTTCAAAAGTTATTAACCAACAAGCAAAGACTAAAGTACCAGATTCGTTACCAGGTTTCATGCCTTCAACTTCTTCGCCAATATCAGCTCTAAATGATAGCTTTGACAGTCGGCCAAGTTTGGGCCCCATTCCAGATCGAAATAAAGATATAAGGAAGTCATTAACTTTCAGTGGCAGTCATCATGTTCATGGTTTATCAGAACTTCGACGAGGAGATAATATTGGTATAGTGAAAGGAGTGCCACAAGTAAAACCGTCAATGGATGCCCATGAAGATTCAAGCGGGAGTGGCTCACCAAAGACCGCAATGATTCGTGGAGATGAAAATTGTTCACCAAATCAGGATGGAGGCCGAAGTCCAGCGAAACGGGAAGCACCTCCATATCGAGATCCTCCTTGCCCTGCCTCTCCTCCTCAGAGATCACTGCCTCCTTACCGTGACCCGCCACCTCCCATTCACAGCCCCTCTCGAGGAACTCCGCCTCGATCTGGACCATCACCCATGCAGGATGTCTCAATTGACTCTCTTTCACCTACAAGCAAGGCCAAGCCTAAGAGGAACTTGCTTAAGGTTGGTAATTTCTATAGAATTTACAATTTAATTATCTATTTGAAAGTGGAATAACCAAATGAACAGGGTCTATTTTATTTTTTTAAATTCTCTGATTTATTAATTGCTTCTCAAAGATGGGCCATAAATAAACTTAGATAATATTAAACAGTATTTATCCACTTTTTCAGTATTAGCGCCTCACAATGTGCATTATCTGACCAATAATCACTGTTTTTCTAATAGAAATTTCCCTATACTATCTGTGTACATATGCACATATATGGCAAAGTATAAAAGAATTCAAACAAAACATTTTTATAATCTAATTAAATAATTTTTATGTCTCAAAGTAACTCTACTGTGAATGTGTTTATTAAAACCGTAATAAAAACATAATCCAATGTATTCCACCATATTTATCCCTTATCAGCCTGGGTTAAAATTTAGTTTACGGTACACCCTTAGAGAAACCTAGCTGCAGCGCTTAAGCCCTAATTACTGTTCATGCTCTAAGAGAAATGAGTAAAACTTACGGATAGGCGATTTTCATGGTTCGCTGTTCATATGCTTTGTCCCCGCCGCATTGTAACGGCTATTTACTTTCAAAGGCAAGTTTTCTTGTTTTGTTCACTATAAACATCCATGAGTCTATCCAATGCATAATTACCAATTCACTTTTATAAGACATCACTTTTTAAGAAACCCTTCAGAATTCTAACTGCCTAGTTAACGCCGGAATGGCGCGAAGTTCCGGTTTAAACGATTCCCTAGGTTGTACCGTATACTACCTTTCAGCCCCAGCCTGATTTATTTTTTAAAGATTTTCATTTTACCATTGTAATTTTAATCAAAAAGTAGTCTGAGTGCTAAAAAGAATATAAAAGCTCACCCCTAATAAAAATGTCACAGTATGGAGAAAAAGCTTCCACGCCCACATGGACACACTAGGTGGAGGCATTTCCAATTTCTCTTTATTTTGTTTTCCCTAGATTTTAATGATTTTATTTACAATTACAGAAATAGTTGTACACAAAGCATTGAAACCATGACAAAAAAGAAAATATTC